GCTGATGTAGCATTTCTCAGACTCCAGCCTATCTTGGATAAACAGCTGTACCAAAGTTTTTGTCATGACTTTACTCTCCTGCATGTTCTTTTGTAACTGTGGGTTTTCTCTAGTTTCCACATGATGATTTACTCTTGTTTTGTGTGTGCTTCCCTAAGGTAGTGAGATAGTGAGACACGTATCATTTCTATTATTGTTGATGTGTTCTTTGTTTTGTCTAACACAGCTTCATTTCTTCTCCACAGTTCAGCAACCATCTTAAATGTCTGGCAGATGCATTTGTACAGCATTCTGCTGCGTGACCATCAGCTTTATCCTAAAACAGTTAATAAAGGCAAGCTGTAATTTTGAGTGTAAGTCCCTCCTTTAGCAGCCAATCTCTTAAGGAAAACATTAAGAGCAGAAAATAATCTGACAAAACAGGCTTTAGCTTTTGCATCCCATTGAGCTTTTAAGGACTGTTGGAACAGAAGATGGCCAGAAGCTCTCTGATATTACTATTTGAACAGGAGCAGCTTCCATTTGTCATAAAAAGTCATGAGGGCAGACACTTCTGCCATTAAAAGTAATCCTACGGGAAGCTTTGCCACTGCAGACATTTGGTTTTTGCCTAGAGTAAAAAGTCACACTTCAATGTTGTGTTCATAACCTCTTGATGGCATTGTGTAGGTACAACAACCAGCACCTCATGAGCAAGTCTCCATCAACATACCCCTGCAAGCAGCAAAAGGTAGCAGGTTAAGGCCCAGTCTTATTGCACATTCAGCAAGTCATTCATCAAAGCAAAACTCATACCACCAGCCCAACAATTTACATTAAGTCCCAAATGGATGCCGCTCTGAAGAGCAGTTAGGGAATTGCTCATAAAATTATATCTTCTGAAAATATGTTCAAATTCCTGCAGGGTAAAAAATGAAATAAAATAAAGTAAGTCCCTGTGGCGCTATTACCAGGCTAAACCCTATGCTATGCAACACGTGACCCCAAAGCATGTGTCTTTCCCAGCACTACCGCATTGAGCTTGGCAGCCAACACCCTGCAAAGCCGGGTCAGCGATGCAGGCTGCTTCAGTTCTGCTCTGCAGAACACAAAGCCAAACACATCAAAAGAGATCTGCCTCCGATTTATATCCTAAGACAGAAGGGTTTTATTAATAAAAGTGTTTCCTCAGACTTAAATTCCTTTAACCGTACTTAAGAGGGAGTTACTACACATCTTGCCCCCAGGCGAAACATGACCATTCCACACATGTTAAAAATCAGTATCTCTTTACATTTATTGGTGTGTTGAAAAAAAGTCAGGATTTCTTTTTCAGACTGTGGCAAGTTGGGAATCTTTCATGTCTGAGGAACCATCTCTATCAACTGGTTTCTATTTTGAACTTATGAATTTTCATATCGCATAAGCAACGGTTACATTTTTATAATAACCACATCTCTCCATCTTGAAGTAAGAGGCTTAGCTGGCATCGCACTTTAAGGACAGCTGTGGGATACAAGATGCTGCAGAGAAGACTTTGAAGCTCTCTCCATTCTGCACGAGGTGTTTCTCCCCCTCCTTCCTCCTGCACTTCTGTTAATCTTGAAAGCATTTCCTACTAATGCATGAAACCTCTATTATGCCGCATATGGTTTCTATTTTCAAGTCTCTAATGATTTCAGGAATTTCTTTGATTTCTCTAGTTGTTACCTCATTTCTGTCATTCCTGATTGACAAAGAAGAAACAACCCCCAGCCCCTCCTAAGCTTTATTTCTTTACTTATGAAGCTGTCTTGATGGATGTAGAAGTTCAACATGGCTTTTGTAGGAAGGAAGGTGGGGCCTCAACCATGGCTCAATAGATCTGTGTTACATTTGAATAGCATCCACTTTTCTTACTTGGAGAAATGAGGCGTTAACCGTCAAATCTGCAGTGTGCCTAAGGACGCTACACTCACACCTACAGACCTATGTCAGCACCGAGGGTGTCATACAAATCTGTACGCACAAACAGAGCATTCCCAGAAAGAAATACTCCACAGTTCCTGTTTTCATCAAGTTTCCAAATCATTAGCAGCCAAATGGTGGCCAGACCCCAGCAAACGCAGCCACAGACACGATGCCATGGCAATGCCTGGTTCTGCCCTGCAGCTCCTGCGCTGTGCCAGCTCCGTGTGCCCTGTCCACGTGCAGATGCCAGCACAAGGCAAGGACTGAGCCTCGTTCAGCCTCAAGCTGCCCTTCTGTGGTTCGTGGTTCACTGCATTGAGCAAAGCTCTTGCTGGAACACAGCACACATACAAAAGGGTTCGCTCGGAAAATTCAATTTATTGCAGAGACTTCATGTTGAAGGATCAAAACAGACAAATGCTTAAGGACAGTTCTGGTGGCAGCTTTGAAATTATGGAGAGATTCTATAATCTTAAAGAGGGGTATGCTCCAAAGGTATGTCTGCTCAGAGACAAACCTATCTCTTACTACCATGTTCCTATAGCAGCAGCTATTGTACTAATTGGAAAGAAGGATGGAAAGAGAGGAGGGGGGAAAAAAAGCCAACACCAAATCATTGCTTCGTGTACCAACAGCCCCAGTAGATGAACCAGTTCTAATGCTGATTCTATTTAACTGGATGTGATACTCTCAGAGATTCCTATCAGCAGAAGAAAGGGCTGTGTGATTGCTTCTTGGCAGCGGCGTGTAACAAATCCCCCAAATTACACAATCAGCTGTCTCATACATGAAGCACACAGGAACAGGCAAAGCCACCGTGAATTTCCCATCTCTTTGGGTTCATTCCATCCAGAGAACATCAGAGCTCTGCACCAGCGAAACCCGAACAGCCTAGCTAAAGAAAATATTCACGGCATACAGTCCCACCTGCACAGAGATGACAAAGCAACGCTGCTCACTCGTGTGGCGCTCCGTGAGACAATGAGCAGGAACAGCAGTGCTGAGCCCTTTGGTCACCCCCCCCTTTTCCTTTCCCTCCCACCCCAATGAAAGCTCGGGGCAGTTCTCTGACACTCCTGACACCCCTGGACACAAAGGGGCTGCATGGGCAGCATCTCATGGGGACTGCTGCACAGCAGCAGTCAGTGCCGCATCGCTCCTACATGGCATTCCTAATCCCAAACCCATGTCTGGAGCTTGGGTGGCACCCAGCAGGCAGTAAGGTGGCAGTGGGGTGTGTGAAGGCTCCAGGAGTGACCTCAGCTGGGAATACAGAGGGATCATAACCTGAGGCCTTGGGGCGGGTGCTTTCCAGCTAATCACAGAACCATGGGGGTTGGAAGGGACCTCCGGCGTTCATAGAATCCAACGGCTTTCTAAAGCAGGTTCCCCAGGGCAGGTAACCCAGATGGCCACCTGGAAGGCTGAGGGCTGGGCTGGGAGCCGGCAGCTCATTGCTCTGCATTTCAGGCATCTATAAAACCTGACTAGTGTTCATAGGGGAAGCAGTCAAACCCCATGGCCACCCTCATGGGGAGCCCACTTGCACCATTCTTTTGTCATCTCTGCACTTGATGAGAACATCACTTCTCTCATCAGAAACAGACGAGCCATTCGCTGTCAAAATCACCCCATTACAGCAGGTTGCAGAATGCCCACCACACACAGAAACACGTGTCCCAGTTTGGGGCAGGGGCACCCAATGGGGCGGAGGAAGGATGAGCAGCAGCGCCGATAGCGAGACGCAACCATTCGAACAAAAGAGATTCCAAGATGTCGCACTGAGAAAATCTTCCTGCGGAGAGCTCTCCCCCCACCCCCCCACCAACCCCCCTTTCGCGGCAGCGGGGGATGCTCGGGAGCTGCGGGCACACGGGTGGCTCCCCCTGGCGCGGCCGCATCGCTACGCGGGGTGGAACCGCAGCGTGGAAAACACTGCCGAAAGGACCCGAGCTCGGACGACGGGGTTCCTTCGGTCCAGGAAGGGGGACCTTCCCCATTTTCCGTCGGTGCCGAAGGGTTATTTTGCGGGGTCGAGGGGGGAGAGAAGGGGCCTTTGGAAATAGCGGGCAGTGCCGCGCGGGATGCGCACCGCGGGTGGGGAGGTGGGTTGGGGAGAGCGGGGGAGTTCCACCATCTCTCCACTACCCCGTGCGGGGCCGGAGCGCGGCGAGGAGCCGGGGGGGGGTCCCTCGAGGTCCATCGAGGAGGGGCGGGGGGCGGTGGGGGGCGGCTTTGTTCCATCCCGGGCCCGATCCCCGACGGGGCGGGCCCCGCGCCCCCGCCCCGCGCATGCGCCGGGCAGAGACAAAGGAGCGGGCGCTGGCGACCCCCCTCCCGCGCGGCAGTGGGTCGGGGCAGGGGGACGTGGCGATGTGGCGCGTGTGCCCGGCGGCGGGGCGAGGACACGCGTGTGCGTGGGGAGAAATGGAGGAGAGAAGGCAGCGGAGTGCTGGGGATGTGCGGCTTCCTGGGGGAGGTGGGGAGGAAAAGTGGGGGAAGAGGGATGAAAAACGGTGAAGAGGGATCTCCTGGGAGAAGGAGAAGAAGGCGCTCGATGAATATTCATGGTACGCGAGGATGGGAGCCGAGAGCTGGGGCAGCGCAGCCCCCCGTACCCCAATACACCCACCCACCCACTACCGCGTCCCGCGCCCGGTGCCGGGAGGTGCCGTCCGGCAGGGAACCATCGCGCTGCCGCCCCCACAAGGAACCCCCCGCCCCGCGCCCAGCTCCCACCGAAGGATTCGGGGGTGCGCTGAGACTGCGGGTTTTTCCGCTCATTGTTAAGAAATCGGGAGCAAAACCCTCTCGTTCCCACCACACCCATCGCTTCCTGCCCCCTCCGCCCCCCACCCCGAGAAAGCGCCATCGGGCATTTAAAATCCCGCGGCATCGCCCTCGGTCCGCTTTGTGCCTCGAAACCGCTCCCGGGCGCCGTCCTTCTCTCGAGGAACCGCTCTCCCCACTCTCCTCTCATCCCTGCACCGGGCGGGAGGGATAAAGCGCGGCGGGCTCGAAGCCCCCCGCTCCGCTGCCCCTCGCCACGCGCGGGTCGCGCCGCTCCTTACCCCGCGTGCTGCCGCTGCCGCTCTCTGTGCCTGTGCCGCGCTGTCGCCCGCCCCGCGCAGCCCGGAGCCGCTGTGCGCTGCGGCTGCCGCTCGCTCGCCGGGCGCGGAGTGCCTCGCGCTGCTGCTGGAGCACTGCCGCCGCTACCGCGGCTGCTGCCTCTGCATTTCTCGCTCTCGCTCTCTCTCTCCCCCCTCCCTCTCTCTCCTCCCTCCCCCCTTCCCTGTGACAGTCTGTGGGCAGTTCAAAAGCCACACGCACTTATTTATTTATTTCCCAGGCCGGCGGGCGGGGGTAAGGGAAAGAGGGGTGCGCTGCGCGGCGCTCGCGCGTAGGGGGCGCACGGGGCCGGGATGTGAAATACCGGGAGGGGGCCGCACGCGCATCTTGCAGCCTTATATATCCCACCTCCCCCCGAAAATAAAGCGATCTCGGGGACGACGGTGCCGTCGAGGAAGGGCAGGGAGCGGCTCCTGAAAGGCACGGCGGTGCGGAGCTCTCCGCTGCCCCTTCACTCTCCCCCACCTACGGAGCTGGGAGTCGCGGCGAGCGGAGGGGCTGCACGCAGATCCCCCCACGAGAGAGCCCGTACAAGAGGTTCTGTGCCTAAGAACAAAAGGCAGGACAGAGGGAAGCGGCCCGGGTATCGGGGGCACGGAGCTCTCCGGGGCTCGAGGTGCGCTGCCCCCAGCCCCCCCACCCTCCCCAGCCACATCGGCGCCGCACCGCTCCCCCCACCCCCCCACCCCAGCCCCCGCCCGTATGGCGATGCGCAGAGCTGGGGCGCCCCCTGTTCGGCATCGGGGCGGCACCGCCTGCGTCGCGCTGCGCTGCGGTGCGCTGCGGTTCGGCACGCCCTTTTTCTTCCTTTTTCATTATTGTTTAAAAAATTTTGTATTTTTTTCTTTTTCTTTTTTTTTTTTTTCTTTTTGCATCCCCGCCCCGCAGTGTTCCACACCTGCCCGAGCTCCGCCGAGTGACGTTGGGTAATCGAGGAAAGAAGAAACAGGAGACACACACACACACACGCACGCACGCACACACATACACACACAAAAAAGGCAGCAGTGCCCTAGGCGTGCCGGATCCGGCGGGCGGGGCCGCGCCATCGCCCCACTGCCACGGGAGCAGCGTGGAACGATGCGGCAGAGGGAGAGAAGCGGGCGGTGCTGCGCAGCCTGCAGGGCCGAGAGCTCGGGCTCTGGGTGCTTCTCCGGGGACAGCGATCTCTGAATGCACGCAGCCCAAATGCGGAATGCATCCAACACTCGCTTTGCTGCTTTGCTGCATGAACACACCCTATAGATGTGATCGATTTCATAGAATCGGAGGATCGTTTGAGTTGGAAAGGATCCCGAAAGGTCATCTACTCCATCCCCCTGCGAAGAACAGGGGCATCCACAGCTCTATCAGGTCACTTCGAGCCCCATACAGCCTGACCCGGAATTTAAACAAATGTGGGTCACCAAATCATAGAATCATAGAATCACCAACGTTGGAAAAGACCTGCAAGGTCATCCAGTCCAACCGTCCACCTACTGCCGATATTTTCCCACTAAACCACAGGGATTTAAATCTACCTTCGGACATTCTTTTGTCCTAACCAGAGAGGTGTGGGGTATCCGCAGCTTCTCATCCCGTGTGCAAGGAATGAAGGAGGAGGTCGCTAGCAGGAAGGAAGGAAAAGCATGGAACATCTGACAAAGGATGGGGAGCTTTGGCCGCGTAGCTGTGTCCCGGTCCTCCCTTGCAGCACAGCTGTTTGTCCTGAACCCATGCTGCCGCTATGGCAAACCCCGGCCTACCCCGTCACTCAGCCCCATCACCTCTCGTCACCTCTCTCTCCCTCAGCCTTTCAGCCCCCTCTGGCACCGACTGTCACATTTCCATCTTTGTCACGGGGAAACAAACCCAACCCCGAGCACCCCCTCGCTCTTCCGTCTGGACGCAGCTGGTTCCGACCGACGGCTCCTCGCAGTGCGTTAGGTGTGACGCGGGGCGGCCGCCCCTTACCCCGCATCCCCACGGCAGGAACCCAGATGCGCACAGCTCGCCTCCAGCACCCACCGCTTCCCGAGCCTCAGCAGGGAGCACCTGCTCCTGGAAAGCAGCGCATCCCCGTTGTGCTCTAGGAAGAAAGAGTGGCGACCCAAAACAAAACCCAAAACCCACGTTAAAAACCCCACCGGCGCCGCTCTTTCACGACCAGCCCTGGAGAGAAAGCGCTCCTTCCTCCTGTGTGCGCCATACACAACGAGAGCAAACCCGGAGCCCCCGCCGCTCCCCGGAGGCGCCCGCCCGGCCCGGCCCCGCCCGCTTCTGCGCTTCGCACGGACACCGCGGGAGGGAGCGCTGCGCTCAGTTTACGCGCAGTCCAACTTCCCCGAGTCGAGCACAGAGAGAGGCGCTCCGTGCCCGCAGCCAGGTGGGACGTGAGGCCCTGGAGCCTGACTTACCCCTGTGTTCCTGGCTCTGACTTAGCTCGTAATGTGAAGCACATGTGCTTCCCAGGAGGTCCTGCTCCAGCCATCGATTTAAGAGGCTTCCCTGCTTCTTAGAAGTCCGTGTGCAAGTTTTCCCAAAGATGGGTATAGATGCTGTTCTGACAGTTCTGTTTATTTGTGGTTATCTGGGCTATTTTTGTCTCCTACCCCAATTACCCACAAGCCTCAGAGCTGCTTATGTACAAAAGAAGCAAATGTACATCCCTTGTGACTTACGTGTTCCAGACCCCTCCATGACCATCTGCAAGTCAGATCTTGGAGTCTGTTCTCCACTTTCACATGCACGTTTCACTGCAGCAACAGCTGAATCAGGGCTTCTCTATTTGGCTTGTATGGCCAAAAAATGTCTTTCATGTAACAGCTATAGTGAGTGTATTAGTGTCACAATAGTGACCAGAATTGGTTTCTTGTGCAGTATTTCTTCTGTTCTCACTCAGAATGTCAGTAATCAAATCAAATCACACTGTCTGGATGCACCAATGTGACAGCTACAATGCACTGTTGGGTACTCATGAAGTAGAAGAAGTGAGGTGCACAGGAAAGGATGCCAAATACGTTGAGCAAAGAAAAGCTCTGCTTCAGTACTCAGTGTCTGATCATTGCACTAGGGTAACTTATGTATGTTACTGTCTAGACATGCCGTTTGAAATGCAAGCTGGAATTCTGCCTTGGGAAAGAGGCACTGGCTGCAAGCATGGGGTGACGGCCCTGGGGACACATCGCCCACACTGTCCCTACTTACCTTCCCTGCACCTCCTGCCCAGGGCTCAGCACCCATTTTAATCCCAGCCTGCTCCATCAGTCCCTGCCCCAGCAACATCATAGCTGTCTGTTCCCAGCCCTTTCTCTGACTCCATCTTCTGCTGTTTCAGACTGGACCTCCTGAACAGAGCCTTCATCTCTTGTCATCCTTAACTTTGGGTCCCTCTCCCTTCTGTAGCAGCTTCTGGCATCCAGCTTGTCACAGTTGCTTCCTGGCAGCCCTGTTGTGGGCACAGAAAAGAACTTACACCCATATGCATTAGAGCAGCTTTGGTCCTGTTTAGCCACATTTCTTAGTCCCTGTATTCCTTTCACTTCGTGGCACTAAGTTTAAAGCTGTCCACCTCTTGTATATCACTGCTTGTGCCTAGCAGAAGCTGCAGACTCCTTGTGAGAATCAAATTCCATGACTGCATCTGAGGTGGTTAAAGCTGTTAGTATTTGTAAACATTTGGGCAGAAGTGGCTCTCCCAGAAAATAAGAGCCAGATAGAACTCATTCCTCAAAACCATTACTCCTCAGTGAACCACCAGACATGTCAATAGCATGAGCTGTTGAGCTCACAACACTCATCTGCTTTCAATCTACAGTCAGTGATGGAGATTTCTCTGAAATGGAAATATTAGCAGCACAAAAGACCCGGTGCTTCAGACTGTGTAATGTAGGTACACTCTGTGGCTGCACCTCTAGGACCCATCCTTCCATACCAGATCTGGGTATGTTCTCAAGGCATGCACCACAGATTTAGCCACAGGATTCTCTGTGTTGGGGCAAGACATGCTGTCTGCTTCCTGAACGCTTCTTTGAAATGCTACACTACTTCGATATTTTTATTTTTGTATTTTTACATGCCAAACTGAGTTATCAGTATCAGAGAGTTGGAGCTTTAAATAAGCCTTGTAATGTGCACTACCAGCTGTTCGTGGCTGAATGACAGAGGGTCTGCAGCCAACCTATACCTTTTGCCTTTATTGGGTGGGTTTTGTGGGTACTGCAAATAAAAGAGCATGTGGGGACATATCACAGAATTACAGAATTGCAGGGGTTGAAAGAGACCTCAAAAGATCTCTGAAACATGGCCAGATAAGGCCATTACAGTGCATAAATCAAATACTAACGCACACAGGACGAGTCAAGCTTTACTGAAAAACTTCAGAAAGAAAAAGATAAAGGCCAGTGAGATCAGCGGTGATCCAGAAGCTGATAACACGTTGTGCTCCAGCACAGAAGTGTCAGACACCTCTTGCCTTTTTGCCTGCAGGTCACTGACTGGCATAACTGGATGACTTCATGCAGTGGAGGCAGGCACTGCTTTACTCACCCAGTAGCTCATATTTGTTCAGAGATAGCTGATAGCCTTGGGGACAGGCACAGGCTGCTACTGTCACCTCAACACCAATCTGTCCTTCAGTGAGTATCAGTTAATTTCAGTAACAACTGATATCTAATCACAGAAAAAGCCCCTTCCAGTTTCAGTTTAGTGAGTTTAAAAATTTGAGAAATAACTTTTCAAGTGGGAAAAGCAGAACATAAACTTTTTTACATCAAAATCACTGAAAGAAGTCCCATTGCTAGTAGTAGTGAGTCTTGTGACACATAGCTCACAGGATAAGCCATCTATTTGTCTGGGAAGTTATAACATTGTGTAAGGAGTAGTTCCCAAGTCATAGAAGCATAGAATCATTAGGGTTGGAAAAGGTCACTAAGAACATTTAGTCCAACTGTCAACCCATCCTCACCCCCACTAACCTACATCCCTCAGTGCCACATCTACATGTTTCTTGAACGTTTCCAGGGATGATGACTCTACCACCTCCCTGGGCAGCCCAGGACCTCATTACTCTTTCTGAGAAGAAATATTTCCTAATATATGGCCTGAACTTCCCCTGGTGCAACTTGAGGCCATTCCATCTCATCATATTAGTAGTTACCAGG